CAGGAAGAGAAAGAGAGAGAGAGAGAGAGAGAGGTGAGGAGAGAGGAGAGAGAGAGGAAAGTGTCGGAGAGAAAGAGAACGAGAGACGACGAGAAGAGGACGAGAGGCGAGGAGAGAGACGGATGAGAAGAAAGATCGGAGCGGACGAGAGAGAAAAGCATTAAGAGAGAGAGAGAGAGAGAGAGAGAGATGAGGAGAGAGAGAGAAAGAGAAGAAAAAGAGAGAGACGAGAGAGAGAGAGAGCTTAGAGAGAGAGAGATGAGAGAGAGAGAGAGGAGGGAGAGAGAGACGAGAGAGATTGAGAGGTGAGAGAGAGAGGAGAGTGCTGAAGAAGAAAGACGCGAAGAGGGAGATGAGCAGAGCGAGAGAGAGGAGAGAGGAGAGAGAAAGAAGAGAGCACTGAGAGAGGCGGGAAGGAAGAAGAAGAGGATACGAGAGAGAGGGAGAGGAGAGAGAGAGACGAGGAGAGGAGAGAGAAGAAAGAGAAAGAAAGGAGACGAGAGGAGAGGGGCAGAGAGGAGGAGAGAGGCTAGAGAGGAAAGAGAGAAGAGAGGGGACGAAGAGACGAGGGGGAGGAAGAAGAGAGAGAGAGAGAGAGAGAACGAGATTGAGAGGTGAGCTTGAGGGTGAGAGAGAGAGAGAGAGAGACTAGCTGGAGAGAAAGAGAAAGAGAGAGAGAAGAGAGAAAGAGAGAGGAAGAGAGATGAGAGAAGTAGATAGAGAGGAAGAGAGAGAGAGACGAGAGAGGGAGAATGACCCGGAGGGAGAGAGAGAGAAAGAGAAAGAAAGTGAGAGAGAGAGACGAGAGAAGAGAGCTAGAGAGAGAGAGAGGAGATGAGAGACGTGAGAGAGAGAGAGAGAGGAGTGACGCAAGAGAGAGAGAGAGAGAGATTGAGAGAGACGTACAGCCTGCCCCGGCGAACATGAAGAACAGCACCGGATAGAAGAATCCCATCGCCATGGTGAGGATGTACTCGTGGAAGACAGCAGACAGCACGAAAACAAACATCATCGCTAGTGTTCGATGCGAATCGCCAACGATCTGTGAACAAACAATGGTGACAGCTACTAACCATAATTATACACATTATACACATATATATTTGTGTTCATTGATATAATCGAAAGAGAATGTGGCGATACAAAAACGATCTGTGGAGATGGTGATAACCAGTAGCATACACTCGTTATTATGCCCACTGTGGAAAATAAAATTTCAAATATTCTAGATTTGAAATAAGGCATGAACTAATAACTAACTAATAGCTGATTGACAAGAACGAAAAAACATGAGAAACTGCATTCACTTAGATGAATGATTGTATAACGTACGTGATAGACGTCCCTGTAAACGTACGTGTACAACCAGTCATGAACGACTACGTTCCATGTCCTGTAGTAAGCAGAGAACGAGGTAGAGTTCCACCAGTCCTGCAAAAACAAATAACTTCATTCGTCCCAATACTAGTACGTAACATTCAGTATAGTAGCTTCCAGCATTTCTGCAACGCCACGATAAATGCAGTGGGACACAAAAATGATTGGCATCGTCCACCATGCATTTGCATCTGTGCGAACATTTCGTTCCTTCCGTATAGCCGCCCTCGTGAACATAATCATAATGAATGATATTGTCAGGTATCAGTGGTTACCTTTACTGCCACCATGTTTAGTAATGTTAGGTCGTACAGCCCTGTAGCGAGATTGAAAGGCTACCTACACGGGTAGAGCTAGACATAATGCTGCAACCTTTATACGTTTGACGGCCCCCTAGGTGCGTCCCACACAGCAGCTCGTGGTTCACAAAGGTTCTATCGGACACGTTTCGCGTACCTTGTAGAACATTCTGTCCCCGAAGCGTAGCATTTCAGCAAAGGCATTCAGCCAAGAGTGCAGGATTGCGAAGAAGGCGATGAACAGCACCAACGTTCCGGGAAGAACACACCCGAACGACGCCAGAATGTAGTTCTGTATGTTCACGTGATCGGCATTGAAGTTCTGCAACGAACAATATGTTCGCGTGAGTTCGTAGCGAGTTTTTACGTTGCATTGGCGATGCAGTAAGTTGGGCTCTTACCTGGATGCTTTTATGCAAAAGCAAGTAAAACTGAAACCTATCCAGAATACATGCATGCAGAATCAACTAAAACTGAACTCTATCCAGAGTACAGGCACACAGAATCAAGTAAAACTGAAACCTATCCAGAATACGGGCATGCGGGACCGAGTAAAACTGAATGTTACCGAGAATACTGGCATGCAGAAACAAGTAAAACTGAACCCTACCCGGAACACAGGCATGCAGAATCGAGTGAAGATGAAGGAAACATAGATCAAACTCGCCACAACCTCAGCGAAGTTGGTCGCCACATGGTTCCACCGAACCTTCGAGGTCCTACAAAAAATAATTACGGCATGCCAAAATAAAAGTAGCCGTTCCCAAGCAATTAGACACTACAAGGGTACAACTCAACGCAGATAGCAACATTACACAAGTGCGACAAATCCAGTCCAGTGAACAAATGAAAGACGTATCTCAACAGCAGTAATCCCATATAAGAAACAGACATGTGGATTTAAGAACCACGCATTAACGAAGCATTGCATGAGAGCTACGATCATCCTGAACAAATAAATCGAAATTTCACGCGCATTTCCATGCTACCATCTATCGGTCCCATCTCGAGTCTTCCACCAAGAACCATGAGATAGTACGCGGCCTCTCTCACATCTCGCACGAGTCACTGGCACCGTCACGCACAAACCTCGGGTAGTGATCCCTGTATACAAGGGTCAACGCGCACAAACCTCGGGTAGTGATCCCTGTATACAAGGGTCAACGCGCACAAACCTCGGGTAGTGATCCCTGTATACAAGGGTCGGCGCAAACAGGAAGTACAGGTAACAGCTGAAGTCGGGGAATTGCTGATCCGTTTCTTCGTCTGCAATGCAAGGTGTACGCCGTAAGTTCCCACGACAACGCTACGTGCTACTCTACTCCAAAACACTATCGCACTACGTTTAGTAATATACTATACTATACTACGTACTGTCATACATTGTTTAGTCATACATACTATATTATACACTATTATACTTTGTTTATTTATATAGTAAATAATATCATATACGATATACTAGGCTATACAATCATATATTGTTTAGTCCTATATATTATACTCAAGAACACATGTATCCTACATGCTCACACCATACTTTATATACTATCATATATTATACACAGCATGATATATACTACAGTATACTATTAGAAGTACATGAATAGGGAGTGAGATGAAATATATCATAGAGCGAGATAGAAAGAGCTATTTATGTACTCCTGACACTATCAGACCTTTAACGAGATAGTACACGTACCATGATGCTACACAGTAAATGCACTACACATGCCATGATCGTACGAGTCAGAAGGTAATGCATGAGGTGGTATTCCACGATAGAATCAGTCAAGAGGGAGAGATAGTTGAATTTGTCAAACAGCTGACAATCAAACAATGTGGTATCCACAAGATTCAGCAAAAGTGTTTCTTGTTCAAGGCAGAGGAATGAAATGTGGGTGAAAATTAATTCGATAGGAAAGCAGAGCCGCTTACCATCTTTCGCCTTGAAGTTGACCACACGAGTAATAGTCTCTCTCACGAAGGAATGTGTTTTCATTATTAAGCGTGTCTGCAAAACAAAGCAATCATAACATTTACAAATATATTTGCATAGAGAACATCATCTTGTTTTCATTCTACTGGGAAGATGCCAGGGAAAAGACTAGGAAACCATACAGCACTCACTCTGCATGCAAGAAATAAAACAGCATACAAGTAATTCATGAAACCTGTCACTTAAAATCTACTACGAGAAGGGAAAATTCACGAGCCAGCACTCAATAGATGCATTGACAAACTAAATTCGATCACAACCACTCGAGGGCAGCACCATGCAGTCTACCTACCTGCTCTGCAACAATAATAGTTGTTGATGCCGGAGGCAATTGATATATCAACACCCAGCGCATGGGGAAGTAAAGGAAGAGGCACATATATACTATGTATATAGCCAACCAGAAGTAGTCACTCGCTTGCCCTGGGGAAAGAAAAAACAAAACAAAATGATAAGTGAAACACACTTGACTACATATTACATCTCGTTCGAAAGCGCGACAGAAATCATCGTTATCGTTTAGCCTCGAACGAGTCGCGGTTGTGGGGATTTCACAGGACAACGTGAAAAAACAAGACAGGGGGAACCAACAGACGTTAAACGAGCGAAAGTACAACACGAAGGACGCCGCCGACAAAACCGATCGCTGGTATTTTGGCTCCGGCAATCTCACGCGTGCGCTCAACATCGTAAATCTAATGGTTCAAGGTCGTAATGAGGACCGGGAAGGTCGTAAGGGTCGTGTCTCTCACATGTCTTCAGCGGCGTGCGTGAGCCGGCCCAGAACTGCAGCGTGCAGAACACGATGGCCATCGTTGACAGCATCATGACGGCCCACACGAACATGACCTGCGGAATCTTTCCCATCGCCCACAGTATGAGGCTGAAGTCCAAAACCAGCCTGCAAGCAGACACACACACTGTTCAAGACACTAACACAAGAAATTACTGACTATCTCTGTTTATATATACAGTCCGGCCTCCTTTATCCGGCCACGTCGAGACCAGCACCCATCCGGATACGGGATTTGGCCGGATGTAAAAGTTATGCTCAAACACAGCATTAATTTCTATGCAGTTCAGTAGGGGTTATGCATGTGATAATGTATTTACTCGTTGCTACGATTGATTATTTGTAACAAACTGTCGTGTTTTATGGTTTATATGAAATGGAAATGAAATGAAATAAAACAGAAATTTTACCACTTCGGTTTATGTTTGTTTCTTTTGTGCTGAGATCTAGAGAGTACGACCTTGGCTAACGAGTACGATCTTGGCTATCGAGTACGACCTTGGCCAATAAGCACGAACCTGACTGACCCATTCATTCGATTTGATCGATATAATTAGACAATGCATCTACATAAATAAACTACGCGACTAGACAACAACCATGGATAAATGCACGAGAAGTGCGAAAAAGACGCATTACAATAAACTCGCCAGAGTTGATGTTCAAAAGTCACAACAACAACGAGCGCGCTGACATCAGTGTTGTAAAGCAAGAGTAGCTAGCCTCTAACAAAGCTCTCAACACCCCACGGTAGAAACGATTGTTCACTCCAATCTTCACTAACAGGAACGAATGATTCACGCCATCGCAACTACGCAGGAATACTGTCGGTGCCCGACACGCCCGCCGCCGTCATCGGAAGGTACAGCAAACACACGTTCCCACTGTAGTCCTCGCACCCTTCTCTCAGACCGTCGCCATCGACGACGCGTCGTGGAAATTCCCCGTACGAAACGTAGACGCGCCAAAATTACGTCAACGTAAAAAGAGTCAACGTAAAAATTACGCTTGAACTGGTACTCACTGTGTAGGGAGGACAGTTCCTCTGCGCATAGTACTCCATGCTGTAGAGGCACATGAGCATGCCATTGCCCATGAAGAGAGCCACCCACATGAAGACGTTCCATGCGGGCGAGACACGCTTCTTAGTGAGGAAGATGAAACTGACTGCAACGACGACAATAACGAGACAAGGCTTTAACGTCGAAACATGGCCGTGCCGCCGGCATATATATATATACATACACACACGTATGCACACGCACGTATATATAACATAATATAATATATATATATAGTAATATATTGCTGATTGATGACCCTTAATCTGCTCCATCTGTTCTGTGGCTGTTCATCTGCCATGTTCGTCATCTCTCTAAATCGTATTCATGTATATCAATGAGATCAGAGAGAGAGAACAGAGAGAGA